GTGGCCACTGCAACAAATTATCAAACCCAGCAGAGAAGTAGACAGTGCCATGGGAGGGACAGCTAATGTTAGAAATGGTGAAAAAGTTGGAGAGTGGAGGTATGTCTGACTTCTACCTCATAGGAATCAGCTTTGTGCTCATCTTGATTCTCATCTCTCCCTCTGAATGTAGACAGGCTGTGACACTAGTAGATTGTAGCACATTTTTTTTATACCAAGAACACCTAATAATAATGCCCAAAAAATATAACTATTTGCTCCCAAATAATCACAGAAACAAAGTTGCCAAATAAAGACACGAGCAAGCCAAAAGGCAGAGCCCCCAGTGGTCTAACGCAGGATTAGGCTACACGGTCCACCTCCTGTGGCCCCTGCCTCTCAGTGTCAGCCCTGAGCCCTCTAACTCCACCTCCCATCCTGGAGCATTCTTCACTGAGGCACATGGAAGCCATGAGGAATTTATGAGAAGTGCAAGTCACCCCAGATAAGTTCATCTTGCAAGGTCACCTCTCCTGTTTAAAGCAGAAAGAAAAACTGTTTGTACCCACTTTGATGGACATCACTAATCTCAAACTTTGGTTGATTGCATGAACAGCCTGTAAAGGCCTAGACATTCCTTTTTATATTTTGGAATAGTTTCAAAGTATATGTGGAAATAATATAGCAATCAGAGAGAGCAACATTACAACATTTTCCTAAGTGTTTCTAGTTTGCATTATAGCTTTTAAAAAAATCTTTATTAAAAAGGTGCACATGGATAGCAGTGAGATGGGGTAAAGAGTGGAGAGACTATGTCTTAATCTGATCTCCACCAGTTACTATAGCCTATGATGCCCCAACTATACTCTTGTTATTAAACTGATTTAATTTTCTATCTGTCCCATTGAAGCGAAAGTTCCAAGACATCCTTCAAAATTCAAGGTTACCTCCTCAAGAGACAGAATACAAAATCCAGGCAATTGCAGCAAAAATGGCCTGAAGCTACCTACCATTTTGTGATGGTGACAAAATGGAATCAACCGAATGTGCACACTGGTGGAATGTCACTATGACATGTCCAAAATACAGAAAATCCAAGCAAGCATGAGCCCAGTCACAGCTCTCAAATGTTCACGGGGAAAGATAAAAAGGTCAAAGGGGAAAAAAAGGGTCTTTAACTTAATCAATATAACTTAACTGTAATTCACTTAAACGAAAATAACTTGCTCTGCTATAACGCACTATGATCTAAGTGTTAACTGTTCAGGATGAGAAGCGATGTTGCCTAATGAGATGATCAGGAGACTCAGGCCTGGTCTGGGCTTCAGTGTAGTCATCTGTGAAAGGAGAGGGTTGGGCTACATGTCCTTTAAGTTTCCTTTCAGTTTTTAAATCGTATTATTTTATTTTCCAAAGTCACTGTTTTCATAGAATCCCAAAATAAGAAGTTCTCACCTAGGAATTTCTGTAAGTATGATAGTATAATGCTGTTTTGCATTCTCTTTTCTTAAAAGTAGCCAAGGCAATTTTCTCAGGGGTCACATGCAGTCCTGGAAGATCAGATTGATCTTCATTTTAAGAAGAGAAAAGGCCCTTCTAAGAGTTAGAGTCTTATTTATTTAGAAATAAACTATCATTTGAGATTTTCTAGTCCTAGATGAAGCAATTGAAGCCAAGAGAAGTTAGGTAATCTGACCAAATCACCCAGCTAGGTAGTCTCTTGCTTGGTTGTTTGATGCTCTTCCTGAAATCTCATGCTGCTTTCTGAACTATCGCATATATTTCAGCTAAGAGCTGGAAATACTTTCAAGTAGCACTTAAGGAACATGGAATAAAAGACATGAAAGTGTTTTGAGCTAAAAGGCAGTTTTTGCTGAAGTGAGTGGGAAATCTCTTATGACAAAGACAGGAGAAAGGAAGACTGGAACCCATCCTAGCAAAGCCTAGGAAGTCCTAACAAATTTCCTTGAAGCACAACATCCCAGGACATAGTAATCAAAACTACCACACTACCCAGGAGAGTGGGTGGGAGGCAAGAAAGCAAGAGGTTCTATGTAAATTTTGTTTGTTTTACAACTAGCAAAGAGCATGGGATAACAGTAACCACCTTCCTGGTGTTCCTAATAAAAAATTAAGAAGATTCCCGGTGGAGTACTTATAATTTAGAAGTTGTATACCCCACAATGTGGAGGATTAAACCAGCAATTGAAATCTATACCCTCAGAAACAAGCCAAAGAAGAAAACCAGGCTTCTCCTGTGTCATCAGAGTGGGGAGATGGTCACCTGCTCTTGTTGTTACCCATTGTGTAAATGAGTGTGGCCTTGCTGACACCTCTGTAGATTATATCAATGCAAGGTCCTGTTACTAAGAGAATTGCAACTTTTCCATTCTGGACTGCTGTCAGTTTTACTTATTTGTAAACTGAATGCTGCCTTGGCATGGTTTTCTCCTCAGGTGACACATGAACCTGGCTGGCTAGAACAGGAATTCCACACCCTACTTCCCCAGAACTCTGGGCTTGCCTTCCTAGAAATAAGCTTGGGTTGGGAGAAGAGGGTAAGGTCTTGAAACTACTGTTGCTCATAATCCAGACAATCCTCATCCAACTCAACTGGGGAATGGAAAGATACTGGGGAGTGGAACAGTTGCCGCTGAGTGAATTCCAACTCTTGGTGACTTCATGCATATCAGAGTAGAACTGTGCTCCATAGGGTTCTCACTGGCTGATTTTTCAGAAGAAGAGCACCAAGCATTTCTTCCAAGGCACCTCTGGGTGGTCTAGAACCGCCAACCTTTTGGTTAGCAGCTGAGCGCATTAAATGTTTGCACCACTCACGGACTCCACTGAAGAGTAAACCAAAACCAAAGTCAATTCCAATTCATAGCGATACTAGAGGGTAGGGAGGACTAATTATTATGCTAAACAGCAGCAGCTATAAGGTCTTGGGCAGATGTTACCTACACAGCAAACACAGAAATCTCCCTGAGTGTTCTAGAGGAGGGTCACAGCCAGAAAGATGTACCTGCTACCAGATGGGTGACCCCAGGAGCCCCCACCTTGGCAGTTTGGTGAGACTGGTAGCTATGACTATGCTCCTTTCTCTCTCATCCTGGAAAAATTATGAAAATACAAATGAGTGAGGGTGACTTTATTACATGAATAACTCTAAATATGCCCTATTTTATTTTCAAGTAAATTATTGGAAAACTTCAGTACTTTATTATTAAAAAATAAATTTCTCATGATATACCTCTCAAGTGAAGTGATAGCTTAGGTCTAGGAGAGACACTAAAGAATTTCTTCTAACAAAGATGTGTTCCTAAAGAGCAAAAGGAAGTGACCCAACTTCAGCCACTCAGCTTTTCCAGCACAGGGCTGAGCAGGCCTTCCAGACTCTGTTATCTAAGTATCTGTTGTCCACGGTTTTGGAGTTAGAAGACTATGGAGGAGCCCAGCACGAAAATGCACCCTCTGTCTTGTTTCTTCAAGGGCAGTTTGCTGAGTAGCAGGACTGGCAATATTGGCCTCACCGGAGGCTGGTAAGAAATGCAAAATCTCAGGTCTCCCCATATTCTTGCCAAATCAGAATCTGAATTTTAACAAGATCCTCAGTGATTTGTGTGCACTTTGAAGTTTGAGAAGCATTACCCTCACAAACTGACAAATTATTAGTCTCCACGCAAACATCTCTCCCCATTTATCACAAAAATAACTATGTCAGTTTGTCTCTCTTCCCTGCATCAAATATTATAATGGAACGTAAGGCAATCCAGCAGCAGGAGGAATTTGCAAATATTGCAAAAGATGCAGTGTTTCACATACTTGGTAGAAGTGATGTCAGAGAACTACTCAAATCACACACAAAGCATCAGCAATCGAGGAACTGGCAGAGTTAGATGCCTTACATCCATTAATGAGTGAAGGGAAGCACCCTTGTAGAAGAGTGATCACATTAACTTCAAAAGAGAAGGATTTGAATATCAAAGAATTAAGAAAGGGCCTTGGGAAAAATGATGAGGCCCATGAATATCTTTGAAAAATGCCCCACTTTATGATAGTGCTGTGAAAGCTCAAACGTACAATTTTGTCAAAAGACTATGCTCAAAAAAAAACACTTCATTTAATCCTTAATTATTCTAAGAAGTAGCACACTTTTAAAATTACAACTTAAATTACATTACATAAGATAAAATAAATTTTCATAAGTTTTAATTCATTAGTTCCATTGTTAAAGATAAAAGTCTAATCAAAAAATTTTGTCACTATCTATCATGAACATTTGGTCTCTTGTTCTTTTTATTGTACTTTAGATGAAGGTTTACAGAACAAATAGTTTCTCATTAAACAGTTAGTACACATATTATTTTATGACAATGGTTAACAACCCCACAACATGCCAACACTGTCCCTTCTCAACCTTGGGTTCCCTATTACGAGCTTTCCCTGTCCCCTCCTGCCTTATAGTCCTTGTCCCTGGGCTGTTTTGCCCATTTAGTCTCATTTTGTTTTATGGCCAGTCTAATCTTTGGCTGAAGGGTGAACCTCAGGAGTGACTTCATTACTGAGCTAAAAGTATGTCCGGGGGCCAGACTCTTGGGGTTTCTCCAGTCTCTGTCAGGCCACTAAGTCTGGTTTGTTTTGTGAGTTAGAATTTTGTTCTACATTTTTCTCCAGCCCTCTGTTGTGGTCCCCGTCAGAGCAGTCAGTGGTGGTAGCCAGGCACCACCTAGTTGTGTGGTCTATGTTTTAAAGGCATTTGCCTTAAGTGGGCTTTCCCAGGACCAGTTGTCCTCCAACAATGAGGACTCACTGAACTCTGATTTTTATTTTTGCATATTCCTTTTTCTTATTCCTTTATGGGGCTCCTTTTTATGACCAGTATGGGATAACTGATTCCAGCTTACTCCACAACTTGGTGAAGAATTCTTTTTAATGTCCCATTTCTCAGTCAGATGTTTCAGCCCAGGGGTTATCTGTGCGTTTATAGCTAAAGCGGCAGATACTTATTCTGTAATTACCTTATCGACCATGAGGAAGTTCTCCAACTTTTCCCCATTTTCGCAGGTGACATCACCAACCTCTCTCACAGCTCTGGGCAGGATCTCTTTCACTTCCTGGGCAATCATTCCTACATACAAAACACTCCAATAGATTTAATCAGGAAAAGATCTTTCCGAAGAAAATTCTCTAAGGCCTACATCAGAATAGAATACCGATAGCCACTCAGGATATCTTTGGAATTAAATGGAAATGGATGCTTATTCTTCTAAGCCTTTGCTTTAATCTACAATGCATTTAAGGTAAAGAAGAAATTTGCAGCCAAGAACCAATATAGGATTAAAATGGGGGTGTCTTTTTCTCCACTTTTCTTTTAGGCTCCGAGCCAAGGAGCGAGTTAAAATCTCACACACATAGGTCCCTGGATGGCTCAAAAGTTAAGCACTCGGCTACTAGGCAAAAGGTTGGCAGGTCAAACCCACCCAGAGGCATCTCAGGAGCCCTGGCGATCTGCTTCTGAAAGGTCACAGCCTTGAAAACCATAAGAAACAGTTCTACTCCGCACACACAGGGTCGTCATGAGTCAGAATTCACTCGAAGGCAACTAACAGTGACAACATAGAAGTAAGGGCAGGGCATAGCTTAGACTCCTTTCTTTTTCTGTAGGTGATTTGTGCCCCTGCATATGCCTTCTTTCCTGAAATTCCTGGATTGCAGTGTAAACACCATTTCGCTTACCCCGTCTCTGACCTAGAGCCATCTACCCTTCTGTTTTCTCCACGCCAGGAGCAATGCTGCTCCTCAAACAGTTCTAGCTTCTATCTGCCCATGAACACTCCTTCCAAGAGCAAGAGAGCTCCAGTGAAAAGAAACTATACATTCAAAATACTCCGGAAGTACCTTGGGGTGAGGAAAGAAGAGGTGAGGGTTTTGAGGAAAGATGACACAGAAATTCCTTAACCTTTTCTATTCTAGTGATTATGAATGTCACAAAGGACAAGTTAGACCAGCAGGGTGTTGTCAAATGCCATAGCACACAACTTGAAAATAAAGGAGAAATTAAAATTTCAATAGTTGACAACACAAAATCAAAAGGGAAATCTGTCTGTGTACCTGTTTGATGGGCAGTGTTTATTCCCATTGCAGATGCAAATTCAGGTTTGTAGTCGTATTCAACAATCCTCATTTGGGCAATTCTTCTCAGCTGTTCATTTGTGTCAACCTAATTTAATTAAAGAAGAGCAGATTTCATAGGCTTAGATATTTGCTAATCAAATCAATACCCAAAGTGACCTAGAGAGATTAGGAATGTTGACAGTGGGACCATCCTTTTCTCTTGTTCAAACTGTCTTAAAAGAAATTAGTTTTTTTCTCCTGAGAGGGGCTTCAGTTTCAAGTTCCACCACTGACTAACAAACTGAGCCAGAGTCCTTGTGTCCAAACTACAGGACAAAAGCTCCATCACTCGCTGCTCTTGCCTCACTTCTCCCCTCTGAGAGGTGAATCCTCCTTCTGAGAAAGGAAGTTGCTTACTCTGGAGAGAAAAAAATTGTTGTTCAGGATTGCAAGATACCATTTTCAAATGGGCACACAGGTTCACAGGCAAAACTTATCTTTGCAAATTGAAAATGCAATGATCACTTCAAATAACAGTCTTTGGGGTATGGATATATTATATATCATTGAATTGCTTTTGTACATTTTGCTGGGGAAAATTTCTTTAGGATGACAGATTGCAAGCTAGGATTATTCAGCTTCTGGTTCTTCAGAACTCAGACCTCCTCCTCTTACAAAATCTCCCTCCTCCAGACCACACCAGTCAGTGATGGTGTCCTCTTCTGAGCTCACTGCTTTTAGATGGGCTGTTAAAGGCATTCCCAACTGTCATTGTAGATTCCTCAAAAACGCTTCATTGCGTCACAGCAAAATGATTAAAATAAAGGCAATATACTGAATTTTTCTGAAAGCTAAATATGTTTTATTCAAGGGATTCTTCTTTGAGTTTGAAGGTTTTTAAAATTATTTTTATGAAATGATGTAAAAGCAGATCAATTTTTTTTAATGACCTTATTTGACAAGGAAAAAGTTGGCAGCCCTATGTGGGCCCCTAATTTTTCTTTTGGAAGATAACTGGATTATAAAACCAGTGGTCTCTTGACAATTAAAAATATACTGCCTGGGCATTCATCCATATGTTAGAGCAACCAAAACCACTTTTTTATTTTTAAACCCTATCTTGGCCCATAACTCCTCCCTTAACCCACCCTGTGTGAGATGGGGGTGAAGCGCCTCCATTGTTATTGAGGACTTGCAATCTTCCCTAGTTTGGCTGGTTGTGAAAGATTGTGGCTTGGCACTTAACTGGCTAAATGGAATAGCTTTACTTCAGATATACTTATCAATGAGTATAATTTTGAGCCCACTGCAGTCAAAGGTTATCAAAAGCTTGGTTTAATTCAGTCATTCACTGTTTTATTCTACTAACATTTACCAATTACCTTCAACATTCCATGTACTACACTAAGTGTTGGGGATTCAAAAACGATTGTCCTTTAAAAGTTTGTGGTCTGTTTTGACTTCATGTACTTGGATGGGAGAAACTGTATTTTGTATATTCATTCAAAGAATGTGTTAGGAGTATTCGCATCTTGGTTACACATGATGTGCCTTGTAAGCCTGGACAACTTTAAATTCATGTGTTTGCATCAGAGAATCTGTGTAAGGTTTTCTTAGGCAAAGCATATATTATAAACATTCATATCCTTGTTACACACATACTCTGAAAACTTGAAATACTGTTTTGATTTCATTTACTTGAATGGGAGAAACTATTATATTTTTATTCAAAAGATGGTTTGGAAATTTTTCTCAGTTGTCAACAAGATGTATTTTAAAAACATGGACAACTCTCTTGACTTTGTATATGTGCATGGGAGAATTTTTGTAGCACTTTCTCAGTAAAAGAATACGTTGGGAATGTTCCTAACCTTGTTACACCAGATGTACTTAGAAAACTTGGAAAACTCTGTAAAATTCATATGCTTGCAACTGAGAATCTGTGTGCAGTGTGTTCGTCACCAAAAAATGTATTGGGAACTTCCCCACCTTTGTAATACAGGAAAACTGAAAAAAAAAAAAAAAAATCGTTTGTGGTCTGGACAGGAAGACAGACATATCATACATGATTGTATTACAATATGAGAAATGTAGAATGATGATGGAATTATGAACAGAGGAGGTAACTAATTCTTAAAACAAAACAAACCAGTTGCCATCAATTTCAACTCATGTTGGCCCCCTGTATATCAGAGTAGAACTGTGCTCCATAGGGTTTTCAATGGATGTGACCTTTTCAAAGTGTATTACCAGGCCTTTCTTCTGAGGTGCCTCCGGGTAGATTGAAACCACCAACCTTTCAGTTAGGAGCAGAGCAGTTAACCATTTGCACCACCCACATTGCCATCTAATTCTGAGGCGAGCATAAAGGAAGTCTTCCTAGAGATGGTGTTCTGCTCCTTTTTCTTCAGGACACGTGCTTGTGGCATTTTCCTTGTCTAAAAACCCTACCATCCCACTCTCCTACCTTCTCCTTCCCGATTTAAGCATCCCTTCCTCAAAGAAGCATGTCTTGACCTCCAAGAGTTGGAAGGGTTCCTCTTCTTTGTTTTCATAGCACCTGTTCTTTTCCTTCATAGCACTAATCACAATTATAACCAGACAACTGATTGTGTCACCTTTATTATCTTCCCCTACAGGATATATACCCCATGAGGGTGAGGATATATTTGAGGTGGTAGTTTTCTGTTCACCCCCATATCACCAGTTTCTAATACAACTTCTAGCATGTAATAGGTGTTCAACTAGTATTTGTTAAATAAATTAATAACTTTAAAATAGGAGGTAGTCAGGGAAAGTTGTAGGGTAGGGTGGCGGGTGGAAAGGCTGGGACTAAGGCAAGTAAACTAGGAAGAAAGAACACCATGAGTCAATTTCTAAGGCAGCAAGTCACCAGAATGCCGTCTGCAGGGTGAAAGCAGAGTTTGGCGTTCCTAGACCACAAAGGTTAAGGCTAGAGCAGGGAGGGTCTTGTAGGCCAGACTATGCAGGATCATTTGCAATTCTATATTGCCCTGTGCACATATCTATCACTGTAAGCTCCTTCATTCATTCAACAAATATTTAATGAGTAGCTACTGTATGCCAGATGCGATTCTAGGCACTGGGGATTCAATAAGTAAACTAAATAAGATTGTTTATTTGGGGCTAAAGTTTAATAAAAACCTCATCCTCGAGGGTGAGGTCCATGTCTTGGTCATCTCAGGGCCTGCACAGTGCCTGGAAAAGTGTCTGACATGTTTGCCACCCAAAATCTTTGATGAAGGAAAGAAGGAATGAAAGAATGAAGGCAGTGGAATGGCAGGACAATCCCTGAGACTAATATAATTAGAGAAAGGGGTCAACTAGGAGCCAGCCTGGACCAGCCTTGCACTACCCAAGACCCACCCAGTTAGTCAATTCCTGGGCCTTGGTGGTCTTGTGCCCACTTCTTATTATCCCTTTGGTCCCTGCCAAGCCTGCTTGATCCCCCACCAGAGACCAAGTGGAAGCAGTGTTGGTCCCCTTGCTGTGGATGGAACACAGAGGAGGGGCCCTCACTTGGGCTGTCCGGCTGCAGAAAAGGAAAATGATCCCTGTTGTCTAAGCTGAATCCTTGAATGCATTTTACCAAAGACATATCGCTAGACACAGCAATTAGTTTCTATAGAAACTTTTTGAGGGTTGGCTTAGGGACCTAAACACCTTATATAATAATGTTCCTTTAAGAAAATGCTCTTCTGATTTCTAATGATGGTGTGTAGACTTCCAAGGCTAAAAATAAACTGCCTGTATTTCATGTTCCCTGTGCGTATGCTTGATCTAGGGAAAACCTTTGAGGCAAGGACTATGTCTTCTTTGGATCCACCTCTGGGAACCATACACAGGCCAGAACTTAACACTACAGAGTGCCTTGCTCATCAATGTGTGTTGAGTAAGAAGCTAGAAACTGAATTTGGATGTCTGATTTGATCTTGCCCATAGCGGTTTTGGAAAGTGTTGACCATGAATACAAATGACCATCACAGTCATGCTGCCTCATGCCCAGGGTTTCTAAATCATTAACTCAAGAACTGCCCCACAGAGGAAGCATGCCAGTGTGTGGGACTCCACTCCAGTTTGCTCAGGGAGCGTGATCTCCCAGATCTGTCCTTGGTTATGGCCCACAGCCTAGCCTTTCAGTCTCTTGTCAGGAGCAGATTGAGTGACACCTGCTTGCCCAGAACTGACTGAGGAACTTCTGCATTTGGCTCATGGCCCTTTGAGAAAATTTTGCACATTTGACTTTCTTGAGCTCTTCACACATCTGCCTTTGTCTTTAGCACACTGCTGATGAGGTTGGGAGAAAAACAGAATAATCTTTGAGCCTTTTATCTTAACTGATTTCTCTTCTGGCTTTTATTTTTAAGTTGCTTACTGCTTTTTTTCCAGCCCTCACCACAGAATTTGACTGGTGCATTCAGCTCTCAACTTCCTCTTTTTTCTTTTTTGCATTGACATTTGATGTTCTTCACGTCGCTTTGGTTTTCAGCATATAATTTCCATCTTAATTTTGCTCAGTTTCCATTGTAAGAGCTGATTTACTTCTCCGGTCTGTAGTCGCATCAGTAAACATGATGTCACTGTCTGGGTAAGTTAACTGCTTCTCGCTTAGCCCAACTTCGTTTTCCTAGTGCTTCAGTTTCACAGGTTTCAATCATATCTTCCTTATCTTCTCTGCTTCTTGGATATGTGTCCAGATGAGCAGCAAGGATCTCCTCCACCAGGGCTCTCTATGCAGAGTGCTCAAGTGCTTAATTTCCACAAAACAACCTACGTTGCCTTGAATGAGGAGACATCTAATTCTAACTCTAACGCTAACCCTAACCCTAACCCTAGTCAGAGCAAGGCAGCAACACATTCATTTTTCCCAATTACAGTGTTTGCGGAAATATGCTCAGCCACTACATTTTGCAACAGCTCATCCATAACCAGTCAGCTGTGGTTACCATGCATCCTTAAAGAATGATAAATTGCCTCCTGTCCTACGCTTGCCATCAAATCTACCCAGGATCAGCTTCCCAGAGCATTTGGAAGAACGGTTCACTTTTTAAAAGTTGAAAAAACCGGTTTGGGAGAGGTGACGATGAAGCTCACCTGTCTACCAGTACCATCATCATCATCATCATCATCATCTGGCTTGTCTCTAGTAAGTGGTGAATGGGGCAGACAAGATTTTCAGGAACACACATTTTGTAAATATGGATATATCTATTAGGAATATATTAATATGAAATAACCATAAATGAACTAAAAATCATTTATATTTTGTACAAGTAAATAATAATAATAACATCTATTTGCTTAGCATTGTACAATTAGGGAAAAAAAAGATTCACATATATGAGTTTATGTTGCCCACAGCAGTTTTGGAAAGTGTTGACCATGAATGCAAATGACCATCACAGTCATGCTGCCTCATGCCCAAGGTTTCTAAATCATTAACTCAAGAAATGCCCTGCAGAGGAGGCATGCCAGTGTGTGGGACTCCACTTTGCTGGGGTAGCATGATCTCCTTTAAGAAAAAACCCCTTAACACAGGTAAGAGCATTCTCTGTTTACAGATAAGAACACAGAGGCACAGAGTGTCTCTCGGCCAAAGTTACTAGGTTAGTGACTGCCAGTTATGGTTGTTGGTTGCCATCGAGTCATTTCTTACTCACGGCGACCTCATGTGTGCAGAGTAGAACTGCTCCATGGGGTTTTCAAGGCTGTGATCTTTCGGAAGCAGATTGCCAGGTCTTTCTTCTGAGGCACCTCTGAATAGACTCAAACTGTCAACCTTTTGGTTATTAGTCAAGCTATTAACTGCATATGCCACCCAGAGAACCTAGTGACTGCCAGAGTCAGGACTCAAATACTAGTCTTCTGATGCATACCAAGATTCTCTTTATACCATCATACTGTGTGAGCAGGGAGGGGATACAGGAATTTCAGATTTAGAGCCTGGACTGGGGCGATGTTTCATTTATATGGAAAAAGTGTCTTAGAAGAGATTTGACAAGTTCTATTACTATTATTAGATGCCATCAAGTCAGTTCTGACTCATAGCAACCTCATGTACAACAGAACGAAACACTGCCTGTTCCTGCACCATCCTCACAATCGTTGTTATGCTTGAGCCCATTGTCACAGCCACTATGCCAGCCCATCTCATTGAGGGTCTTTCTCTCTTTCACTGACCCTCTACTTTACCAAGCATGATTTCTTCCAGGGACTGATCCCTCCTGGTAACATGTCCACAGTATGTGAGATGTAGTCTCGCCATCCTTGCTTCTAAGGAGCATTCTGGTTGTACTTCTTCCAAGACAGATTTGTTCATTCTTTTGGCAGTCCATGGTATAGTCAATATTCTTTGCCAACACCACAATTCAAAAGTGTCAATTCTTCAGTCTTCCTTATTCATAGTCCAGCTTTCGCATGCATGTGAAGCGACTGAAAACACCATGGCTTGGGTCAAGGGCACCTTAGTCTTCAAGGTGACATCTTTGCTTTTCAACACTGTAAAGAGGTCTTTTGTAGCAGATTTGCCCAATACATCGTTTAATTTCTTTACTGCTGCTTCTGTGGGTGTTGATGGTGGATCCAAGTAAAATGAAATCCTTGATAACTTCAATCTTTTCTCCATTTATCATGATGTTGCTTATTGGTCCAGTGGTGAGGATTTTTGTTTTCTTTATGTTGAGGTGTAATCCATACTGAAGGCTGTTGTCTTTGATCTTCGTCAGTAAGTGCTTCAAGTCCTCTTCACTTTCAGGAAGCAAGGTTGTGTCATCTGCATAATGCAGGTTATTAATGAGTCTTCCTCCAATCCTGATGCCTCGTTCTTCTTCATATAGTCCAGCTTTGTGGATTATTTGCTCAGCATACAGATTGAATAAGTATGGTGAAAGATACAACCCTAACATAATACCTTTCCTGACTTTAAATCATGCAGTATCCCCTTGTTCTGTTCGAATGACTGCCTCTTGATCTATGTACAGGTTCCTCATGAGTACAGTTAAGTATTCTGGGATTCCCATTCTTCACAATGTTATCCATAATTTGTTACGATCCACACAGTCAAATGCCTTTGCATAGTCAATTCTAGGGGTTTCATTTACTTGGACCACAGTCATTGCTTATGGAAGCAGCAGTTAAATCAAATTACATATTGCATTGGGCAACTCTGCTGCAAAAGACCTCTTTAAAGTGTTAAAAAGCAAAGACGTCACTTTGAAGACTAAGGTGTGCCTGACCCAAGACACAGTATTTTCAATTGTCTCGTATGCGTGCGAAAGCTGGACAATGAATAAGGAAGACCAAAGAAGAATTGATACCTTTGAATTATGGTGTGGGTGAAGAATATTGAATATACCATGGGTGCCAGAAGAATGAATAAATCTGTACTGGAAGGGGTACAGCCAGAATGTTCCTTAGAAGCAAGGATGACGAGACTTCATCTCATGTACTTTGGACATGTTATCAGAAGGGACCAGTCATTGGAGAAGGACATCATGCTTGGTAAAGTAGAGGGTCAGTGAAAGAGAGGAAGATCTTCAACGAGATGGACTGACACAGTGGCTACACTGATGGGCTCAAGCATAGCAATGGTTGTGAGGATGGCACAAAGCTGGGCAGTGTTTCGTCCTGTTGTACATAGAGTTGCTGTGAGTTGGAACCAACTCGACAGCACCTAACAACAACAACAACAGGGAATCTTATTATTTTAAGAAAACACATTCTCTTCAAACCAAGGAGCAACACTTAAAGATGTTTGGTAAATGAAGTTCTGTAGAAAGCCTGGTGGTAGCAGGAGGGGTTGTGGAGGATTTCTCTCAGTTCTGATATTCCATTTACATTTAGATAAAACTTGGTAGGGAGGTGTATAGCCAGTTGAAAGGGTAAGTCTGAGTTGGTGTGATCTGAAAAATGCAGACAGTTTATCTGCCTTTAAAAGTCAAAGCCACAATTATCTAGGGTTGACATCTGGAAATGTGTGTGAGAACTTTCTAGCCCTAAAAGTTCCCATCCTACTAGTAGGTCACAGCTTCTAATATGAACTGCCACTTCCCGTCTGTATAAAAGTCTACAATTACAACTATTCTCTGGAATCCTCTCAGCAATGAGAGACATTCCTTGGCTGGTTTAGAAAAACCAGTGCAGATTTGCACTGAGAAAGAAATGCAGTCTGGATGAAGAGCCAATGATTAACAAATTAGGTCAAAAAAGAAAAAGAAAAGGAGGAGAAAAGATGTTTTAAAAACATAATTCTGCTGCAACCTCAAAAATGCTTAAGGGAGGGAGAAGTAGTGTGAGTTAGAAGGTGGGGAGGTGGCACAGCAGCAAATAGGAAACAGGATTAAAGGGAGGAAGAGCTGTCACCAGGAATGGCCTGGCTAAAGGATTGGAATCTTAACCCCAGTCCCTAAGGTCTACATAGCAGTTGTAACTTTCCAAGACTATCCACACTTATTATCTCAACTGGTTAGGAAAAAAAAAAATAAAGACTCAGTACAGTCAGGCAGGCAGGCACTGTTTTCATTTTATAGATGAAGACACTGAGTTTTGGTGAAGTTAAGTGTTTTATCCAGGGTCACAATGCAGGGAGAGCCCAAAGCGGAGGAGCAGTCCCCTGATTCTTAGGCCAGGTCCCTTCCACCAGGGAACACTGCCTCTCCACAAAGGAAAAACGTCTTCATCCAGGCCCTTGGGTAATGGGATTGAGCCAGTAAGAGCTGAGGCGGATGAGTTCCTTGAACTGCTCATCAGAAAAAGATGATGGAAGGAAAAGAACATGTCTGGCAGGGCTGGTGCCAGGGACTCTGGGTGGAAGAGGCTGGAGAGGTCCAGAAGAAATATGAACAGAAACAGGGCTGAAACACTGCTTGGAAGATGAGCAGGGAGAGTCCAATTTGGTAGATGGAAAGGAAAAGGCCAGCTCTGGCAGCTGACAAAGTGTGAAACGAAGGGCAATGGCCCATGGAAAATAACTCTGAGACTTCCTGCTTGAGGAGCCAAAGATATGATGCCATTGCCCACTGCTCCTATCAGGTAAATCCATTCTCTTGGGTAGGCATTGCTTTACAGTTTCAGCAGAGATGCCCAACTGTTTACACAGTCATAATTTTTAAACAGTGTGTTCATCTCACACCAACAGGTGACACATCAAGATGCCCTGTGCAGGCGTGTTGGAGACTAGAGGTACCAGCACAGCTGACTGAGGTGTCAGAGGAGGTGCCCGAGGCAGCCCCATGCTCACCTCCTGGATATTCTGCTTCGCCCGGCTGTCAGAGGGATGCATGATTGTCCCCATCACTTTCATGTTGCCACAGACAACCAGGGCTTCATCTGGTGCCTCCGTATTTATTCCTACTCGGCCATGACAGACAACAGATTCTGGAACTTGTCCTCGCTGCCATAATGCTTCGATGTCATTTTCAAATTGCCCAGGGTTAGAGGCCTGGAAATATATAAATAAATATATTACAATTAAAGTTACAGTAGCAGGAATGGATGATCACATTATTCTTCATAGCGAAGGAAAACAGAATGTTATCCAAGTCTTTCACATGAGAATCATACATTGGAACCTTCTGAGGTATCCGAATAGCTCTGTGGTCTCAGGAGAGCCGCGGAGGCTCCCCTATCTAGTCTGCCTCCCCACTAGCAGGAGCTCTGTATGCCATGGTTTGGAGCATCCAATCTCTATTGCGTATATCTGGAGTTGAGAATGTGGTCCACCATACTGGATGAGTGATAAGGAAGAAGAAGAAAACTCAAAATGACTATCTTTTAAGGAACAATAATAATAATTTAAAACTAGAACATTGCATCAGACTACATTGCAAGTCTATTAAGGTTCAGATAAATAAGAATACCTTGCATTTAGCTAGCCCTTTTATAGTTTCAAAACATTTTCTTATTTATGATTATCTAGTTATGAAGAAATGACAATACAAATGTATTTAATACACCTCAGCTATTCCCTAAACTCTGATAGTGCAGAATAACAATAACAGCTACCTTTGTTATGCACTAATCCACACCCCAATTCTATGAGCTCCATACTATTATGCTCATTTTATTCATACTGAGGCTCAGAAGGGATAAATAAATTGACTCCAAGGCTACCTAGCTAGTAAGGGCTGGAGCTGAAACTATACTTCCTCAGATTATTAAATAATGATTCTAACTTTGTTTGTTTCATGGTATTGCTTACAAGTAGCCGGGGCCAAACGTAGTCTTCAAAGAAAATCCAAGTAAAATCATTGGTCTAGACAAACTTCTGGAGATATTTCTCGTACACAAAATTCCTTACCAAAGAATTTTCAGTTAAACCCCTTTTTTTTAATTCCCCTCTTCCTTACAGCAGCTGAATATATTTCCATGTATCTTTCAGTCAGGGGCTCTAAATCTCCCACAATGAAATTAATTTGTTTTGTAAATTATGATATATTCCTCTAAATGTGATTTTTATGTGTTTGAGACAGGCTGTCACACATTCACATAAACAGTAGGAATGCTGATTATCTAAAAAGTCTGCACTAGGGCAACAACTTCACTTTTTGCCTTTCTTTATGGTATATGGGAGCCCTGGTGGCGCAGTGGTTAAGAGCCCAGGCTGCTAACTAAAAAGTCAGCAGTTCGAAAATCCACCAGCTGTTCCTTGGAAACCGTATAGGGCATTTCTACTCTGTCCTATTGGGTATTGTATCTTTTGGTATTGTTTCAGTGTTTTTTATCATATGCATGTGTTATCAATTAAGAAATAATTAAAAGAAACTACAAAGTATAGTTCTTAGTTTGGGTTCATTTAAGAACTTTTAGATGTTTTCAACTTCCTATTTCACTCCTACCTGTCTGAACCCTGAGCTGCTTGAAGACTTGATAGAGAAAAGCAGTGAGAGAATGTAAAGCAACAACTTTCAACATTATTTTGTGTGAATTCACTTGAACAAAGAGCTTTTCTGCAAAGCCCCTAGAGACCCCCTGATTGTAAATGGCAAATTGGCTTTGACTCAAATCCTTTTATAGCAAGCAATCAACTAAATCCAAAGGTATGCCATATAAAATGTTGATGTATTTTGCTCTGCTTTGAACATAATGAGCCACTTCAAGGAAACAAAATAGGACAGTGATGGATTTTTTTCCTTAATGAGCTTTGGGATAATTATTATCATGTTGGTAACTTGATACCGGAATAGCAGATGTATATAGTAGATTTGATTTTTTGGAATAATTACTACAATCTCACTTGGCTTATATCAATCCCTAAAATATATTCAAATCATTTTGGAAAGGGCCACAGATCTACAATGTTCTATGAAGGGATTCTCATCAGTTAGAGGAAATGTTACTATAAGATCTGTGAACTTATTACCCTTCTCTGGAATCTGCAATCTTAATTATGTCAAAGCAAACTGTAATAGACTACTTTTGGAATTATGAAGTTGGTGGCACAAAGAGTTAAGCACTCAACTGCTAACCAAATGGTTGGTGGTTGGAAATCACTCAGGAGCTCCGCGGGAGCCAAGAAAACCCTATGGGGCAGTTCTACTCTGTCACGTGGGGCGGCAGTGAGTGGGAATGGACTTGATGGTACCTAACAACAACATTCACATGCAGCTCAATAGTGGCTGGTTTCTGTCAACACACCAAAGTGAATTACTTCAAGTTTCTAAAACACTTTTATTATTTGTCTCATAGCTTTATATAGTTAGGGAAAACCTGAACATTCTAGTCTAAGTTATGACACAAACTGGCTGTGTGGCCTTGGGGCAGTCACTTAACCTTTCTGTACCAGTTTCCTTCTCTGAAGAATAACAATGTCTTCTTACCCATCTCAGAGGGCTATTGAGGGAATTAATTGAAATCATGTGCACTTTGCAAAAACTTTTGAGAAGTTTCTTATACATGTAAGGAAATAAAACAATATAATAGTCTCAAATTCATCCTCAACACTCTGTTAGGTACAGCAACCATTGTTCAACCTGTGATCGCTTAGTCTGCTCTCCTTAGGAACACATCTGCTATCTCCCTTTTCTTTAATATACATGGGACTGGGCTTCAAAGTTGCATCATTCCAGTGGACTCCGTTCACAAAAGGGACCCTGGTGGCACAAAGGTTAAGCATTCATTTGCTAACCAAAAGGTTGGAGGGCCAGAAGAAAGACCTGGCAACCTGTTCTCTTAAAGATTACAGCCTAGAAAACCCTGTGGGGCAGTTTACTCTGTCACATGGGGTGCTGTGATTTGAAATCTACTGCACCTAACACCCATTCACAAACAATACAATGCAAATGGTGCCCCCTGCAGGTGCTTGGAATAGGAAACAGCATTAGCAGTAATTTGGGGCTGACTCTGTTTAAGCTTAGAATGGAAAGCTGGAATGTATTTGCTTTGCTATTGTTTGGACTTCTAAAGCAGCAGCTCAGGAGCCCAAAAGGAGAGCTTAAGTTGAGGAAGGCAGCTCAGAGTAAATCAGTTTTTGCACCTTTCTGAAAGGGCTACAGAAAATGAGCCTAGAAATGCTCTCTGCCAATGGTACTCAAAGCGTGGTCCGCAAGTAATGAAGTTACTCCCGAGGTTCACCCTTCAGCCAAAGACTAGACAGCCCCATAAAATAAAATGAGACTAATGGGGCACACCAGTCCAGGGACAAGGACTAGCAGGCAGGAGGGGAGAGAAAAGCTGGTAATAGGGAACCCAAGGTTGAGAAGGGAGAGTGTTGACTTGTCGTGGGGTTGTTAACCAATATCATAAAACAATATATGTACTAACTGTCTAATGAGAAACTATTTGTCCTGTAAACCTTCATCTAAAGTACAATAAAATAAATAAATAAACACACACACACACAAAGTGTGGTCCACAGACCAGCAGCAGTAGCATTATCCGGAAGCTGGTTAGAAATGCCCGTTCTCGGGCATCCCAGACTTAGACTGAATTAAAAAATGTGGGGGTGGGGACTAGATATCTGTGCTTTAACAAGCTCTCCAGGGGGATTCTGATTCACAATAAAGTTTGAGAAATACTTTTTTATGACATACACTCCTGGTCATGAGTTACCCCTTCCATGATTGGCAGGAAGCTCTGTGGAGTACAGAGCAAAACAGACATTGCTCCACAAACTGACTCCTTTGGGTAAATAAAACTTCATCTGAACTCTAGGAGAGGTTTGTGTGTTGTGGGTGAGAGGGAGTTTTGTGGTCGGAAATGGAAAGTGCCCGTGAAAAGGGAGATGATATATGGGACAGCTCTCTGCTAACCCCCCTCTCTCTATCCTTGCATCCGCATGATCTCTACTGTGTTTCCTTGCCCTCTGAGTGCTGATTTCCCACCTCGTGGCAATGTGGTTTGCAGAGCAGTAAAGGAGGAGTTCTTGGGGACATGCCCATTTCTACTCTTCTGGAAAAGAAACTGGAATAATATATTAGGTTTTAAAATAAGGAAACCCTAGCAGGTCTTTGAAAGGCAAACAAAGGTAATCATCTCTCCCGTTTGTAACACAGCACTCCTAACCAGGTTTAATTATGTGTTTAAGACGGAAAGTGGAGCTGAAGCAAAGCCTAGTAATTAACAAGGGGACGCTGAAGGAACTCACTGGGGATGGCTCCCAAAAACAAAGACCTAGGAAATAAATCTGTTCTTTGGCCATAAACCTTAATTTCCATTAAATTGGTCAATTTACATTACAGAACCATAATACACTTCTAAAGCTGTTTTGATTGACCACTCAGATAAACAATCATTGGGTCCTGCCCACCACTATCTCTCCAAGGATAATTCAGCCAAGTTTGGTCTCTGAACCCACCCCGCCCCCGGAGACCTAAAACTCATCTAGGTCCAATCCTCGTACAATCGTCCTCACCAAATAGTAAAACATTAATCTCTCTATTTGGAGGAACAGGTTCTTAGGCCACAAAATGAATCGAGATTTGCTAAATGCAGTTTTCAGTTTTCCATTTAATGTGGTCAGGTCTTGTAACATTTTTAAGTGCCAAATTTTCTTCCCATCCTACATTCTGGAGCTCAAACTAACAGACGAGGACATAGCCAAAGACGCTCTTTTATACAATGTAGGCTAGTCTGCCCTCTGCCCAACCCATGATGCCTATAGCTGTGAGCACCCTCTGGAATCTCAGGGGCAGGAGATGTGTTCTGTGGATGTTCCTAAGGCTCACTGATTCAATAGTGCCATTTCTTCAATTCAGGTTTTCTCTTTTGATTTAAACGTCAAATGGTTAAATAGACTCAAAAGTTTGCATTCATTTTCACTTTCTGTGTTTTGTGGTTAAAATGAAATAATACCAGCAAGATATTTCAAGTTTGGGGGCTAAGGGTTTGTGTTATTACCATTATTATTCTTCTTATTGATGTTAGGGCAAACTTTGTATTACTCAGCACACTTGTAGAGTAGGACATTGTCTCTAACCAAAAATTATGGCTAGGAAAAAGCTACCAAATCTGAAAAACAATCATTAAAAAAAAAAAAAATTCAGTGAATAACATGACACCAAATCTATACAAGATAGAATTTGTTTAGTATTCATACTGAATATGAATTGCAGCATCTTTCAGCTGCTCTAAGTCATCATCATGAGCTAAATTATCAATGTGCTCTGGAAATGAAGAGATGCCAGTTAATAAACAGCTGTGGTTAATAGAATGCAGAGAGTAGAGCTCCCTTTAGTATTGTTGTGTGACTATGCAACAGCTGTGGTATGCCTTTTCAAGGGACACCAGCAGGAAATGGAGAGACCTTGCCAACAGGTAAATTATTCAAAGTAGGCAGGTGACTAGGCATACTGTCTAATTCAAGTATGAGCTAGCAGCTCAGGGGAGCACTTTCATGATATCCAGTCTATGCTAATTCTGAAAAGAGAGGCACTATCTGTCTTCATTCCTTCATATTAGAATTCAGAAATCAACAACCAGCCTGGGTTTCCAGATTTTACTTTAAATCAAATGTGTTAGTGAAGCAACGCAATACCAGATTGTATTAGGCGAGATGTCTAAAATGACCCTGATCCCTGCTAAGGGATGGACCAGGCAGCTTTGCAATTGGCTTATGACCAAAGGAGAGAGCCCCACCTCCCCCTGTCCCAGAGAAACCTCATTTGCCACAGGTTATATCAGGGCCCCAAAAACACAGCCCAGGGCATGCATCCTCCCAGGCACATAGCCCAATCCTCCTCGGAGACATCTGTACACAGAAGTGTTTTACTTCATTCCCATCATTACTTCACCTCCATTAAAACTTTGAGATGCAGTTTAAGGATTTCCACTAATAGGTGGCTTATTATTTTTGACAGACTAAAAGAACTACACTGAGTGCGCTTTGTTTCAGAATAGCTTGACGCAAGCAAAGAAAGACTCTACTTCCCAAATAGGCAGATTTTCTCCCCAGGGACTAACAGTCACATACCTGGGCATGCCCATAATGAACAATTTTCCCTGTTGGAGTTTCCATGTTCTCTCTGTCTCATTTCAAAGACCATGACAACATAGCCCCTCCCAGGGCTGCCAGGCCATGTGGTTACCTGTTACCTCATGTCCCTGGGCATTCTCAGCAGCAGCCAGCCTGACCTCACACAGCTGCAGCTACCGCTGCCAGCAGCTTTATGTTTTCGTGGCTGCCAAGGCTCGTGTCCACAGCTGTGGCCAATCATTCATTCAGCCAAATATGCTGAACAATGACTGTGCTAGGCAATGACCCAGATGCCCCTGGGGTCACCAGTCACTTTTAGGCAGGGAAATGGCTTCCTGTCACCCTCCCCACCTTATGGGGTGCCCTGTAGGCTTTGAGGTCAGAGAGAACCGGGTTGTAATACAGACTCCCTCATTACAAACTGTGTGATCATGGATGAGTGAGTTAGCCTCTTGAGATTCACTTCCTCTGGATGTAAAGAATACAATGATGCTATGTATAAATTATTTAGCCCAGTACCTAGAACATAGTGTAGAAAGCAGGGTTTCTCAACCTCAGCACTATTGACATATTCAGTTGGACAATTCTTTGTCATGGGGTCTGTCCTGCATATTGTACCGTGTCTAGCAGTATCCCTGGCCTCTACTCACAACATACCAGTAGCAACCCCTCTCAGCTGTGACAATCAAAAATGTCTTCAGATATTGCCAAATGTCCTTTGGGAAACAAAATCACCCTCAGTTGAGAACCATTGTGTAAAAACTAAAATAATGGGATCCACTATTACTATTACTATCATTATCTTCATCATCATCAATGGAGAGCTAGCATATTTCAAGCATGCCATTGAAAATACAAGGCATGTAGGATCCAGAGAAATCACAGAGCTTAACTTACCCGTACAATGATCCTTTCAGAGATGTGGGCAGACAACAAATAGAACTGGTCTTGGTTAGCAGCATACAGTCCAACCACCAACATGAAGTATCTAATTCAGGAACAGCAGAGCAATGCAAACACATCAGGGCCCAGATGCGAAATATGTACAATCAAATACCACCCAACAGCTAATTAACAGTGAATTTACCTAGAAGGGTTTGTGAATGTAAAGATTGCCTTTTTTCTTCTGCTCTAAGCTGCCCCTCCTGCAAAATGAGAGAGCAGTTGGTTCACTAGTTATTGTTCTGGGTCAGCCCTTTGCCTGGCTTGAGTTATCTGCAAATTGCTTTGCAGGCCCAAAAGCAGCAGGAATGCAGACTTCGCTGGGGAGGCACCGCGGTGGGAAACTTGGCTCAGCTCATCTGTGCTGACTTGGTGCAAGCCTCACTGTGCTATGTTTCAGGGCCCGCAGCACAGCACTGCTTATACACACATGCACAGAACAGGAAGCCACCTTAGAGGTGCCTTTATCCAGAGCCCCCCAAGCCACATGTCCTAGACTTAATGGAGGGCAGCCCAGCAGTTTGCCCACCCACACAGGATCCTTCCCACCACAGCTGCTCTGAGCCCTGTATGCTGCACCTTCCACAGCCTTGGTCATATCTTTAGCCGAAGACTTGAACCCTCCCTTCCAATTGTTTCCTAGACAATCTTCATCACTATTATTCATCACTGTTATTTCAATTGCTTCTTCCCATGTATCACTGATAAGAACTTTAGACCATCTTGTGAAAGTCAAAACAAAAACTATCCCTATCAGAGAAACTTTTGCTTTAACAACTGCATGAAAAAGCTCCATCAACTTCCTCTATAACACCCTATAGATTCTCCAGTCCCTAGAGAATGAGAGTTCTTCCATCTATCTAAAGTAAATCAATAATAGTGATATTTGTTATCATTATTATTACTCTTGTAATAATATTGTGTACTCAAAATGTGTCACTCACTAAACAGTTTACCTACATTATTTCATTTAGATCCTCAAAACAACCCTACTGAAGCAGGATATTGTTACTGTTTCCATTTTACAGAATAGAAAAGTGAGTCTCAGAAGGATTAAGTTACATGCCCAACCTCACCCAGCTAGTAATGGCAGAATCAAATATTCAAATTTAATTCTGCCCAACTCCAAAACGTAAGTTCTAAGCAAGCGTTTCTCAAACCTGTGCCTGCATCAGAACCACCTGGAGGGTGGGTTAAAATACAAATGACTGGGCTGCACCCCTGAGTTTTTGATTCAGTAGGTGTAGGATGAGGGCTGAAAATTTGCATTTCTAACAAGTTCCCAGCTGATGCCCACTCTGCCGGTTCTGAGACCATGCTTTGAGAACCATAGGTCTAAATATTAATGCAAATCTCTCTTTTTTTTTTAATCAAAAAGGTTATAGGAGAGCTCCAGGCCTCAGAGCATAATACTGGCAACTAGCACACAGATGTGTGAGATTCAGTCAATCCTCAACCCTCTGATGGAGAATCCTGGAGGGAATCAAGGCAAGCAGAGTTAGGGCTGGGCAGGAGGGTGGGCATTTCAGGGAGTGAAGACGGAAAAAGAAAGGTGTCCAATGGACGGCAAATGAGATATGAAAAAAACTGACAGGAATCCCTGAGTGGTGCAGATGGTTAATGCCCTAGGCTGCTAACCAGAAGGCTGAAGGTTTGAATCCACCAAGAGGCACCTTGGAAGAAAGGCCTGACAATCTACTCCTGAAAAACCAACCATTTAAAACTTTATGGAGCACAGTTCTACTCTGACACAGACAAGGCGCCATGAGTCAGAATTTACTTGACAACAACTTTATTTATTTTTTTCATAAACTGACAGAGTCAGAGAAGAGAGGAAAGTGGCTCAGGGAGGCCAAGAAGATTAGAAGGGCCTCAGAAGAGCACTGCCCCATCTACTAAACTTCCCACCAGCCTGGAGTGGACACAGTGATGCCAGTACCTCTGATCGGGATTTGGTTTTCCCTTCTTTCTCATGTTATTTGCTGTGGTTTCACTGAAGTGTAATCTTCCCAGCGTTACTTTGGTGACCTGGTCAGCCAGTAGTTCGATTCTAAAACAAACAGCAAAAACACCAAGAGATCGTAAGAGAGCACAGAGTCTTTGATCATATGTAACCCGTTCTTAGATTCTCAGGTATGTTCAGTTCCCAGTTCTCATCACACTGCTGAGGACAGTTCATCCCAGTCACAGATTACTACTAAACTATCCACAGCATAGTCAGGAATGGCTGCCAGCGAAGGCCACAGAATAACCTTGAATGGTAAGAAATGTTCATTCAGCAGAAGAGCAAGTCCAGAGTTTCTGACTCATAAGTGTCTTATGCTCCATATACCACAAATGGGTTCTTTCAGCACCACAAGGGGGAGAAAAGATATAATTTATTTATGTCTCTCTGCCACTGCTGCTGCAGCGTTATCTCCTGACTGAAGGAATTTCTCTAGGTTTCCTGTGAACTCCTTCACCTCTTCACACATTTACCCTCTTCTGGAGACCACACACAGCCTGCCCCCGCAAGAAAGATCCAGATGTGCCAGGCAAGTTAACGGCTGTGTTTGCAGAAGTGGTTCCTGTTTGAACATCAGAGGGAGCCACTCTTCTGGTCTGGACAGGCTGTGGGATCATCATCTTCCCAGCCCAAATGGGATTGACTCGGGGTCAAAACAGTGAGATGTTTCAACTGCACCAGAGGCCATCAAGTCAGTTCTGACTCATGGCAACACCATGTATGTCAGAGTAGAACTGTGCTCCATAGGGTTGTCAATGGATGATTTCTCAGAAGATCTCCAGACCTTTTTTCCAAGGTGTCTCTGGGTGGACTCAAATCTCTAACCTTTCAGTTAGCAGCCAAGTGAGTTAACGATTTACACCACCTCAACTGTACCCATCCTCCCTTGACAGATCCATCAAAAAGGAAATCCCACTCCAGGTCATTCTATGGAGAGAACTCTAGCCTTGGACCTCCATATTTCTTTGTATAGTCCAAGTCATATATGTTTTCTATCTTGTAGCAAACTATCAATGTAGCTTTAAGAAAAAAGAAAAAATGAATTATAAGTATAGCATGGATCAAAAAAAAAAAACTCAAACCAAACCCACTGCCATTTAGTCTATTCCAACTCATAGTGACCCTATAGGACAGAGTAGAACTGCGCAGCAGGGTTTCCAAGGAGCAGATGGTAGATTCGAACTGCTGACTTCTTGGTTAGTAGCCAAACAATTAACCACTGTGCCACCAGGGACCCAGCATGGATCCAGAACCTTGAAATTAATTCACTCAGCATGAGCACTGTACTTATTTAAATGAGAATTTAAAAGAAAAATCCATCCATAATCTATCTCAAGGAAGCAAGGTTGTTAACAAGATTGTTAGTAATAAATGATTATAAAAATAATGATAAAAATAAATCTTTTTATAAAGAATTTTTTGCAATTACTTCAATGCATTTTATCAATTTTAATTTTGTTGGTTTTTTGCAATTACTTCAATGCATTTTATCAATTTTAATTTTGTTCGTAGGCACTTGTTCATAATATTAATGTATTATTACTAATTTGGTTTCTAAGGCAGGTTTGGTTTTAAATAAGCAAGATAAATTGGACAACAGGTCTTCTTCCTAAAACATTCACAAAGGCATTCAGAAAACAAATTCTTACTTAACAGGATTGAAAATCTTTTTGCTTCTATCTGCTTGGGACTGTTCAATAGCAATTATTTGATTGGTGGCTTCTACCTGTATGGAACAACAAAAAAGTAAAATTCATTAACAGATAATGTTCAAGAACTTAAAAAGTTTTCCAAGATACCATGGTAGGCGCTGGACGGGAGGGGCAGGTCACTGAAAAACACATAAGGCAATGCACCTGCCTGAAAGCAGTGTGCTCTTCCTGAGAAAAGAAATAAACACCTGTAAAATTAAACAATGGAAACACAAGACGACAGAGTATTTCAGAAAAGCAATGTATACAGAGAAGGCTAGGAAATGATCAAAACATCAGAAGCCAGACCAGATTCAAGATGGTGGCCTACTCAGATGAACCATGCCGTCACTCTACAGCAAAGACCCGAGAAACAAAGTGAAACCGATACAGATGACAACCCTGGAACTCTGAGCATCAAATGAAAGGATATAGAATTAGATCAAACACTGATTGGGCAAAGAAACTGAATGACAACAGTGAATGGGGATAAATATGGAGTAGAGGTACCCTGCCAGACAGCCCCACACAGCGCAGCCATTTTGAGATAAAGCCAGCAGCGACTCTGGGTGAGAAGAGCATAATAGGAAGACAAGATCACGGAACTCCCAATAGGAGACAGAGACAGAGAAACTGCCGACATACCGAGAGTGAAGCAATGTGCGCAGGACATGAACTGGAGATAAGGAGGGGAAGTACAGAAGGAGGTTGAGAGCTTCAGGGATCCTGGCATACACAGAGCAGAGAGGGAGCCAGGCCCAGAGACTCTCCAGTGGTGGTACCTGATGGTAGAGCGGATGGTGAGAAAAGAGCAATAGACAAACTCCCACTTTTTTTCCTCTCTCTCCCCTCCTCCCCAGCCACTGCCCCACCCATCCTCACTGGAGAGAGCAGCTGCACAACACCTAGTTGCCCGTCCTGCCCCCACTTCAGATAGGGCATCTGTGACCCCCAGCCTACTCTTCCTCCCCTCCCCTACTGGAAAGAGCACCTGTGGGACCCCTCGGCCAACTGCCCAACCTCCTTCCCCACCAGCGAGAGTGCCTGCATGATCCCCCGTCACTCACTCCACCCCCTTTCTGCTGGACAGTACAGCTGTGCAGCCACCACTCTCCAATCCTTCCCCAATCCCACCAGAGAGAGTGGTGCACTCCTCACTGCCAACCACCTCACCCCTCCCTCACCATAGAGAGTGCCTGCACAACCCCTAGTCACCTGCCCCACCCCTTTCCCATCAGGGAGAGCACCTGCCCCCCCTCCGGCCAAATGCCCTGCCCCTCCCCCACCAGGAGAGTGCCTGTGTGCCCCCTAGATGACTGCTCTGTTCCCCCTCGACAGAGGGGGCACCTTAGTGCACCCCGAACACCTGTCTGGCTCCTTGCCTGTTGCCCACCCCCCGGTAAACAACTGTGAGCATTCCCATACCACTGAATAGCACTTGCCCAGTAGGCCTTCAGCCATCTCATACATAAAAAAAACAGTGACAAGGGCTCGCCCTGCCCACTGTTGCCCCATCCAACTGTGGGCAGGAAGTAAACCTCCTGTGCCACTAGACAAGTAATCACTAAAGTACACCCAACTCGCCTGCACTGATAATCAAAATGAAACAAAACCAGAAAAATCTTAAATAAATAAAACAACACCTTAGTGCCTCAGAGACAGCAGACAATGTCAAATCATATAAAGAAACAAGACAAGGTGGCTCAATCAAATGACCAAAATAAAGGGGCAGAAAATCTTTCAGAGGAAGAGATAGTAATGGAACTGCCTGATAAGGAATTCAAAAGGCTTATACACAGGGTCCTCGAGAGATCAAGGAAAACATAGACAAAACCATAGACGAATTCAGGAAAACAATATAAGAACAAAAAGACAAATTAAATAGAAAATTAGAAATCATACAAAATCAGCAACTAGAAATCCAGAAGATTAACAATAAAATATCAGAAATATATAACTCAATGGACGGACATAGCAGTAGAATTGAAACAAAGGAAGAAAGAACTAGTGAAATAGAGAACAAATCCCTTGATACCAATTTGTTTGAGGAACAATCAAAAAAAATAATGAAAAAAAAGGAAGAAGAAAGCCTAAGAGTTATGTGGAACACTATGAACATATGATGGGAATCCCAAAACAGGGAGAAACAAAATAAATAAATAAAAAGCACAGAGAGAATTTCTGAAGATTTGTTGGAAGAAAGCTTCCTCGATATCATGAAAGATGAGAAGATTTCCATCCAAGAAGCTCAACGAACCCTATACAGGATAGACCCCAAAAGGAAGTCACCAAGACATATCATAATCAAATTTTCTGAGTACAAAGATAAAGAAAGAATTCTGACAGCAGCTCAGGAAAAACAAAATATCACCTACGAAGGGACTCCAATAAGACTAAGTTCTGATTTCTTGGCAGAGGCCATGCAGGCAAGAAGGGAATGGGATGACATACATAAAACCCTGAAAGAAAAGGATTGCCCTGTCTCTTAAATATGGTGGCAAAATTAGGATATTCCCAGATAAACAGAAATTAATGGAATTTGTAAAAACCACACCATCATTACAAGAAATATTAAAGGGAGTCCTTCAGATACAAAACCAAAGACAACAGACAACAATCTGAGAGTAAGCCACACTACGGCATCACCAAGATGCCAACCAAGATAGAGAAATCTCAAAAGTAAAATAGAGCTACAGAACTGAAAACAGGGAACCAGAGATGTCAATCTGAAATCGATGACAACTTTAAAACAAAAAGGGGGAATGAATGGTGTAGTTACAGAACTTCCATATGGACAGGAATTCTAGGCGATATCTAAAAATAACAGACTGTTTTAAACATACAATGATAAAGGTAAATCTCACGGTAATCAAAAAGAAAATTAACAAATCTACCCACCCAAACGAAGAAAGTCAAGACTCAATGTTTCACAACAGAGAGTCCCTGAATGAGCAAGAGAAAAGCGGGGTGCAGAACTCAAGTTCTAGTAAAAAGACCAGACTTAATGGTCTTACTGAACTAGAGGAACCCCAGAAGACATGGCTCTCGGACTCTGTGTTAACCCAGAACTAAAACCATTCCCGAAGCCAACTCTTCAGACAAAGATTAGACTGGACTATAAAACATAAAATAGTACTCGTGAAGAGTGTGCTTCTTAGTTCAGGTAGATACACGAGACTAAATGGCTAGCTCCCATCTGGAGGCAGGATGAGAGGGCAGAGAGGGATAGGAGCTGGGTGGGTGGACACGGGAAAGCTGAGGTGGAGAGGGGGAGTGTGTTGTCACAGTACAGGGATTGCAACTAGGGTCACATAAAATAAATTTTTGCATGAGAAACTAACTGGAGCTGTAAACTTTCACCTAATGCACAATAAAAAAATAAAGAAAATAAAAAGTGAACTAAAAAAAAAGACTCAGTGTTTTAGTTATCTAGTGCTGCTGTAACAGAAATACCACAAGTGGATGGCTTTAACAAAGAAAAGTTTATTGTCTCACAGTCTAGTTGGCTAGAAGTCCAAATTCAGGGTGCCAGCTCCAGGGAAAGTCTTTCTCTTTCTGTTGGCTCTGGAGGAAGATCCTTATCATCAATCTTCCCCTGGTCTAAGAGCTTCTCTGTGCAGGAACCTCAGGTCCAAAGGACACACTCTGCTCCCGGAGCTGCTTTCTTGGTGGTATGAGGTCCCCCTGTCTCTCTGCTTGCTTCTCTCTTTTATATCTCAAAAGAGATTGGCTCAGATTGTAGATTAATCTTGTAGATTGAGTATACATTACTGCTGGTAATTCCATCTCATTAACATCATAGACAGAAGATTTAAAAAACATAGGAAAATCACATCAGATGACAAAATGGTGGGCTATCACACAATACTGGGAATCGTTGTTGTTGTTTAGTGCCATCGAGTTGGTTCTGACTCATAGTGACCTTATGCACAACAAAATGAAACACTGTCCAGTCCCGTACCATCCTCACAACCATTGTTGTGCTTAAGCCCATTGTTGCAGCCACTGGGTCAATCTATCTAATTGAGGGTCTTCCTTTTCTTCACTAACCCTCTACTTTACCAAGCATGATGTCGTTCTCCAGTGACTGATCCCTCCTAATAACATGTTCAAAGTATGTGAGATGTAGTCTCGCCATCCTTGCTTCTAAGGAACATTCTGGATGTACTTCTTCCAAAACAGATTTGTTCATTCTTTTGGCAGTCCATGGTATATTCAATATTCTTCACCAACACCACAATTCAAAGGCATCAATTCTTCTTCAGTTTTCCTTATTCATAGTCCAGCTTTCGCATGGATATGAAGAGATTGAAAACACCATGGCTTGGGTCAGGTGCACCTTAGTCTTCAAGGTGACATTTTTACTTTTCAACACTTTAAAATGGTTTTTTGCAGCAGATTTGCCCAATGCAGTGTCTTTTGATTTCTTGACTGCTGCTTCCATGGGTGTTGATTGTGGATCCAGGTAAAATGAAATCCTTGACAACTTCAATCTTTTCTCCGTTTATCATGATGTTTCTTATTGGTCCAGTTGTGAGGATTTTTGTTTTCTTTATGTTGAGGTATAATCCATACTGAAGACTGTGATCTTTGATCTTCATCAGTAAGTGCTTCAAGTCCCCTTCACTTTCAGCAAGCAAGGTAGTATCATCTGCATATTGCAGGTTGTTAATGAGTCTTCCTCCAATCCTGAGGCAGTGTTCTTCTGCATATAGTCTAGGTTCTCAAATTATTTGCTCAGCATACTGATTGAATAAGTATGGTGAAAGGATACAACCCTGACGCAGGCCTTTCCTCACTTTAAACCACGTAGTATCCTCTTGTTCTGTTCAAATGACTGCCTCTTGATCTATGCACAGGTTCCTCATGAGCACAAAATAAGCGTTCTGGAATTCCCATTCTTTGCAATGTTATCCATAATTTGTTACGATCCACTCAGTCAAATGCCTTTGCATAGTCAATAAAACACAGGTAAACATCTTTCTGCTATTCTCTGCTTTCAGACAGGATCCATCACATCAGCAATGATATCCCT